ATCTATCTATCTATCTATCTATCTATCTATCTATCTATCTATCTATCATCCATCCACCCACCCATCCATCCATCCATCCATCCATCCATCCATCCATCCATCCAATCTATCTGTCTGTTTGTCTGTCTATCTCTCCATTCATCTGTAAGTTTGAAAATGCACATAACTAAGCCTAAAGAGAAATTTTAATGAAACATTTTGCTCAGTGACTGTGTTGGCTGTGATGGCTTCCACCACAGTTATTTTTGGATGGTGAAAGCCGGCTCACTTATTGCCAATCTCACCAGACAGTCCAGCCCAGGAATTAACTCCAATGTCCCAATGTCCCTTCCCTGCTGAATCTAATGGGACAGGCTGATGGACACACTTGATTTTCCAGCCATCCCATTCTGCTGCATCACCGCCACTGCTGTAGGACCAAGCTGACACCTTTGAGTTCTTTCCAAAACAAATCACATTTGTTACAATCAGTTCCTTAATTCTTTTTGTTTTATTTGCCGTAGGTTTTCTTTAGCTGGTTTCAATTTTAGCGTCACCTGGAATCAGCCTTCTGCTTTCTCCTTTCATGTTGGCTTTTGAAAGTGTGCCTTGCTATACCTTGATTATTTCTCTTTTGAATTTACATTATCTTGGATCTATTTATCACTTAGCAAGTGTATGTCATAATGCTGGTTTTATATATATATTGTATTCAGCTTTGTTCGGGTATTTTCCCACGTCATTGTAGTCTGACGAACACAATACAGAAGCCTGATGATGGCAGATGAGATTCTGCCGAAACGTTGCTACAACTTTAAAAGCACAACTACAATGACGTGGGAAAATACCCGAACAAAGCTGAATACCATACATGTAAGTACCCACGAAAACTTATCAAATTTATATATATAATATATCAAATTTCCCATGGCTGTGAGATAAGGGGAGAAGGAGAACACCAGATGATGAGCTTTTTCTTAAAAGATCACTTTGCATTGCCTTTGTTCGTGCATTGTACTAACCATTTATTGAGCATAGCCCTGACTTTTCAGCTTGCACAATACACAAAGATAAAATTTAAACCTTTTAAGACTTAGCAGTCATTCTCTGCCTTGGTTTGAAATTTTCATCCCCAAGGACATCATTGGCTGTCTTTTATTGACATGATAGTAGTATTCCAGTATTTAAGGGGTTACCACAAAAGAAGTGGGGGTCAACCTCTTCTCCAAGGCACCTGAAGGCAGGACAAGAAGCAACGGATGGAAACTAACCCAGGCAAGAAGCAACCTGGAATTAAGGAAGAAACTTCCTAACAGGGAGGACAATTAACCAGTGGAACAGCTTGCCACTAGAAATAGTGGCTGCTCCATCACTGGTGGTTATTAAGAAAAGACTGGACAGGCATCTGTCTGGAATGGAATAGAGGAGGAGGAGGAGGAGGAGGAGGAGGAGGAGGAGGAGGAGGAGGAAGGAAGAAGGAAAAGAATGGAATGGAATGGAATGGAATAGAATAGAATAGAATAGAATAGAATAGAATAGAATAGAATAGAATAGGAGGAGGAGGAAGAGGAAGGAAGAAGAAGCATAAAATGGAATGGAGGGGAGAGGAGAGGAGAGGGGTTGGACTAGAAGGCCTCCAAGGTCCCTTCCAATCTGTTGTTGTGTTCTGTTTTAATTTAGTTTCATTCTTAAGCTAAAGAAATATACAGTCAATCACAGACTCCCACTCCCCCACCCCTCCCACCCAAAAATTGTTCTTGCCTTTTCTTAGGCTGCGCGAAGGCTTTTTAGCAAGTTGGTGGGGTTAATTGCTTGTTTTCGCCAAGTTCCCTTCTGCTGTTTTATACATTTGGCTTATGAAAAGTCTGCGCTGCCCTTTCCAAAATGGATTTCATTTGTTATTGTTTGCACCTCTCTCCGATGCCTGTGGGGCATTGTGCTTTTATAAATAAAAGATATATTTTTATTATACTAATTCATATTCCAGCTGGCTCAGTGCGCTGAATGAACCAGCATGTTCTTTCCCAAGGAGGCTGAATCAAGAAGAGTGACTTGAAAAAAAAATAATAAAGCCAGTTGAGAAGGAATTGCATAACCC